ATCAAGGCAATTTCTTTGCATCCAGGCTTGTTTTTTGCTCCTGGTCTCAAGTCTGGAACCCTAAACCCCTATGAGGTTCCGAAACAGCCACTCGCGACAAAATCTATTTTTTGCTCCCTTGCCCCCTGATATGACAAGATGGTCGCAATCGGTCATGGACTCTAGAACCAGTACAGGGCAATTCCAAAATTATCCTCAGGCCTCAGGGTTCCGCGGCTACGACTGTAACATGACATACCCTAAAAACCCGTCAGAAGAAGACAGCGATCAGAAAAGGCAAGCAAACACAGCACTTCCTGCAAGTGAACGGTGTCGGAGCCAACAAACCACCTGTTGAGCATCGAGACCTGCCATCCTTGGCCAACCAAATCCCAGCTGCATAGCCCTAGTTCATATCCAGCCTCCTGAATGGGCAGGGACAGCTTCTCAAAGGCCAGGTCCACATGTTCCTTTGGTGCAGGTGCTCAGAAACACACTACCGTTTGGGGTGTCGGGTTTTCGGTTCCAACTCAAGATGCAACAGGACTAGAGTCAGAGTCAGCACGTCGTTGTGGATTTGGGTAGTTCTCTAAATTAAGGTCCCTTGTTAGGGTCCTTTTTAGAAGGGTGCCGTACTATTTACGTTGGGGATCCAGAAAGGGACCCTAATTTAGAGAACTACCCATGAACGAGTCAGCCGGAAACTGAAACATCATGCTTGATCAGCTTGCCACCCTCGCTGCTAGCAAAGAGCAAAGAGACTCCGAGCTACAACGCTGAACTCCCAGCCCTTCCTAGCTTCTGCAGCGGGTGGGCCGGAAAATCAATCAGTTCTCTGAGGCTGCGGCAGGGCCCAACGGCAACAGCAAGGGCCGCGCCGGTGCCACCACGTCTTTGAGGGACAGTGCCAGATCCTGCGTGGCGTGGCGGTTCCACGAGCGCTTATATATCGTCCAGCGTAGAATGCGTAGAAGCATGGGGCTACAAGACAGCGGCAGCCCAAGCAGGGCTTTCAAGGTTTGGGTTCGTTCGTCTCAGGACCAGGGCTCGCCAATACCCCTTATTTAATTTGGGCAGCCTTGACAAGAAAAGCCGTGGCACTTCATTGCGATTGGAGCAATGTGAAGGCGGCTAAGGGCTGCTCTTGCAAGGTTACCAGGGTTCGACTAGAAGCTTTTGTGGAGTGTCTGGGGCACAGCACTTTTATCGTGCCTGTCCCAAGAACCCAGGGACCAGTGCCGATTCATCAGTGCCGAAATATCTGGTGCGAACCTGCCTGCGTGGCGCGACTTCTCAATCGAACCTCGAACGAAAAGCATGCTTTGGAACAAGCAACCAAGCAGACAAACACACAAACATACAAAACACACACACACACACACACACACACAAACACACACTGACACACTGACACTCCAGAAAATGCAACCCTAAATCCTTTATTCCAAACCCCTGAAGCCCTGAACCACAAACAGCAACACAGCATAAACCCTAACCGTTCTAACCCCAACCCAAGAACCTAAAATTCATGAACCCTGTAAACCCTAAACCCAAACCCAACAATTAACCAAAAATCCCAGACCCCCGGCTCTGGCGCCTGCGCAGCAAGAACCGTCCCGGCACCTGGTGCCGAGCCGCAGTCGACCGCAAGGAGCTGGCCAGAGGTAAGGGCGGGCTGTCTGCATGGTTCTGAGGTTTTGGGTTTCGGGTTCTATGGTTTTGAGGT